TTCTATTATATTATACGACGCGGACAAAGAACAGTTGGTCGTGTTTAGTTCGGAGTTAACACGGCAGGTTTTTTGGTGAACTGTCGTCTTTATTTTCTACGTCGGTGGATTCATACCTGCTGTTGTTGTTTTTTGGTCAGATTTTAACTCTGAAGAAAAACTGTTTGTGCCTAATAAATCACGGCCATGAACTGACCGAAGGAGCCCCTTTTCTCGGCCCTAACACTTGCTCGTGAAGCTAAAGCGCGGCGTTTCGCCAAGATGTTTGGCCTTCCTAAAAAGCAAAGGAAAAGTTGCGAAGGCATTGCACCCTGGCCAAACCCATGGCGCTCACCTGGCGCCAGCCAGCTCGGCCGTACTAGCCAAGCCCCCTGTTCAAATGGCCCAGCAGATAAGGCCGCAGAACGATGTGCAGCAGGTCCCGCGGCCGTATGCGGCCCAGCAAGAAGCACCCCCTCAAGGGCTCCGATTCGAAGATGTCCGGCGAATGATCGAGGACGGCCTCGCTCAGAGGCGACCGGAGGCGCCAAGGTATATAAAGACGTACCCGCTGAAAATTGATCGAACCCCTCTTCCCCGGAACTATCGATTGCCAGAATTCATGCTGTTCTCCGGGGATGGGCAGACCTCCTCCATTGAACACGTAGGCCGCTTCACGGCCCAATGTGGAGAGGCCGATTTAGACGCACAGAAGCTCCGTTTATTTGTTCACTCTCTGACCGGCACGTCGTTCTCATGGTTCATAAACCTTCCGCCGAATTTGGTAAGGGATTGGTCTGATATGGAAAGGATATTCCACGAGCATTTCTATCAGACCAACCGAGAGGGAATTTGCCAAGATGGGCGAAGAGGGGTTGGAGTTTGAGTACCGGAAAAAATTCCAAGGGATCGAATTCCGAGATATGCATGACTTGATCAACAAGGTGGACAGGTACGCATCCTTGTTGAAGGAAGAGATGCAGAAGAAGACGGCTTCAAAAGGGACTTATTACAGGAACCCATTGTCAGCTACGCCGAAGCAGACGGCTCCGCGGAGGCCGAGAGCGATGAAGTAGAGATGAGTTCAGCGAAGTCAGCATAGACAAATCGTTCGTCTGCAAAGGACTTATTAAGGCCGACAATAGCCGTACAAAAATTCCCGACGCCAAGTTTGCAACTCAGGAAACGAAGGCCTACACTTTTGACTTAACGAGGGCCGAAGCTATATTTGACCTGCTATTGGCCGAAAAAAAGGTCAAGCTGCCTCAAAGGGAAGACGTTTTGCAAATACCACAGTTCTTGGTCTCACAACACCAACAATTGCGTTGTCCTGCGAGACGTCATCCAGAAGTTGATAGATGAAAAGAAGCTCCAGTTCCCAAAGAAGGCGGCCATGCAGGTTGACTCCAAGCCATTCCGTCCACCTGTCGTCAACATGGTCGACGCCCAACTCCGAGCTGAATATAGGGAAATTCGTCGGCCGGCGAAGGAAAAAGAACCGTCGGCCGAATCAGTGCCAGTGCTTTGTGAGCGAAGCAGGTGTGAGGTCGGTCAGCCCAGGCTACAAGAGAACAAGAGGAAGCCCATCGAGCCATCTCAACCGATCGCGAAGAAATTCGGTGGTCAGAACGATCGTCGGCATGCCAGCAGGGCTACGAAGATGAGGCCCCCCCTAGGCCAGTAAAACCTTTCAAACCGCCGGTCATGCCGGACGACCATTGGTACCATGCGCGACCTAGGGGCAGGGCCGAACCCTTGACAAAACCCCAACTGAGAAGGATGCAGAGGCAGGTCCAGCAGGCCAGGATACAGACGACCCAGGCCGAGAGTTCCAAGCGCCAGAAGAAAATAGCGACTACAGACGGGCCACCATCTGTACCAATTGTCCCCTCTACGACAAGGACGGCCAGCATCAAGCCTCCAAGGACGTGGCGCCCTAGGCAGGGCGAGAACCCCCGCAGAACGGCAGCCATTTCGGTTTAGCCAAAGGCCATGCTCCTGGAGAAATCAGATAAGGTCATCATCGACGTCTACCACGGAAGGGATCCCCCTTTCTCGGCCAACGGTTTGTCCATTCTCATGGAATTCCATAAAGACTATTCGGCCACCGACCTGTACGGCATGACCCCTGAGAACCGTGAAATCGTGGAGTTGTCCTTCAAAAACGCGAAGGCGGAGGGGCTCCTCATTACCAACGGATCCGACTCCGCCATTAAGGCCATATACCAGGCGAACAGGGAAGCCAGAGCGAGAGGAATGCCAGGATGCTAGCCCGACCTAGCAGGATTGGAGGCTAAGGCCCCCTTCAGCAAGGGCGACTTGGAGTATCTCCGCCAGTATTTCACCGTGACTCCGGCTGATACTATCTTTGGTCTGACGACCGAGGAAAGGGCCCGGGTAGGCCGTCTGAACGACTGCTTAATAGCTAGGGATACGTTGGCCGAGGCTAGATGAGCCCTCGAAGAGAAGGTCAAGAGCTTGGACCCCCCCAAGATCGAAGCGTCCACAGACGATATCCCCGGAGGGCATGAGGCCGAAGACGACCGCACCTTGGGAATATCCGATGAAGAATACGACGGGATCCTCGGGATGGTTAAGGAGAAAACCCTCGCCAGGAACGGCTATGAGGCCGAGGAGGAAGCTGGTAAGGGAGACCAGCAGGAGCCGAGGGAGGCCAGCATGAACATGGTCCTGGTACTACCGTCTGAGTTCTCAGCCCCAAGAGGGCAGACTAACGGCTTGGATAATGACATGGCCGAGGAGCAGCTAGATCAGAGGCCAAAGACAAAGGAAGAATTGTTCGCCGTGGCTTTTCACGAGGTAATACCCAAAGACGAGCCGAACAAATATCGACATCTCAAGCCGTTGTATATTTCGGCTCATGTAGAGGGTGTGCCCGTGTCCAAGGTCTTCGTCGACTGTGGGGCCACGGTCAACATCCTTCCCTATTCCCTGATGAGGAAGCTGGACAAATCAAAGGAGGACCTCATCCCCAGCGACGTGGTCATGAGCAGTTTTGTCGGCGATAAATCTAAAACCATCGGGGTATTGCCGTTAAAAATCACCGTGGCCGACCAGACAAGGGTCGCAGCCTTCTACATAGTCGAATCCAGTGTGGACTACAATATATTGCTCGGTCGTGACTGGATCCACCAATCCGGATGCATACCGTCCTCCCTCTTCCAACTGCTTTTCTTTTGGGACGGCCAGAGGGTGTCCATACACCCGGCCGACGAAAAACCTTTCGAAACCAATGCCGTGCAAGCGCGGATTTACGACGACGACGTTGGATGGGTTGTCCTCACCGGCCACGATGCAAGCGGCCGACCGACCAGGACAACAGCCCAGAAAGTACTGGAGTTAGGCACCGAGAATGTCCGACAGGATTCGGCGCGCGAAGTATTGATCGACCTCACCAGCCTTTAGATGACAGACAAAACCACTAAAGAAGAAGGAGCGGCGGCCGTGACCGACCTGCTGGAAAGACTGCTGGAACATTGGGCGGAGGAGTCCTTGCGGCCAAACTCACCAGTCAACCTGATCGAATTCCTCCACGAATCAGACAAGACGGACGCTTTGACTTTTGACGACCTAGAAACGGCGCTCGCCGAGATGGAGGATGACTACCCCGAGGTCCAGGACCCTTTATTAGAAATAAATGTAGGGTCGGAGGCCGAGCCACGGCCTCTTTTTGTAAGCCAGCTTTTGGACCCTGAGTTAGCGGCCGAGATTATCGGCCTGCTCCATGAATATAAGGATTGTTTTGCTTGGGATTACCATGAGATGCCTGGGTTGCCGAGAAGTTTGGTTGAGAACGAATTAAAAATCAAGGAGGGGTTTAGGCCTTTCCAACAATCGCCGAGGCGGTTCTCGACCGAAGTGCAACTTAAAGTCAAGGAAGAAATTGAACGGCTCCTTAAAGCCGGCCTCATCCGAACGGCCCGATACGTTGAGTGGTTGGCCAACATCGTACCAGTTTTGAAGAAGACTGGGGCTTTGAGGGTTTGCACCGATTACAGAAATCTGAATCTTGCAACCCCAAAGGACAAGTACCCCATGCTTATGTCAGACCTCCTGGTAGACGGAGCCGCAAAGCACGAACTCATGTCTTTCATGGATGGCCATGCTGGTTATAACCAAAATTTCATAGCCGAGGAAGATGTCCACAAAACGGCGTTCCAATGCCCGGGCGCAATCGGAACCTATGAGTGGGTGGTTATGCCGTTCGGCCTAAAGAATGCCGACGCAACATACCAGCGCGCTATGAACCTTATTTTCCACGACTTTATAGGCTGGACCGTTGAAGTCTACATCGACGACGTGGTTGTAAAGTCCCCATCCAAAGCCAACCACGTAGGACATCTCCGACAGGCTTTCAACCGAATGTGAGCGCACGGCCTAAAGATGAACCCGAAGAAGTGTGCTTTCGGCGTCACCGCCGGGAATTTCCTCGGTTTCTTAGTTCACCAACGAGGAATCGAGGTAGATAAAAATAAAGCTACGGCCATTATGGCGGCCCCTCCGCCAAGGACCCAGAAGGAGCTCCAGTCCTTCCTCGGTACGGTCAACTTTTTAAGGCAGTTCATATCCAATTTGGCAGGGAAAATCCGGCCGTTGACCCCTCTGCTCAAACTGAAAGACACGGAACGGTTCGTATGGGGAGCAGAACATCAAGCGACCCTCGACGATATCAAGAAATATTTATCTCAACCACCGGTCCTTATGCTGCCGAAAAGAGGGAAACCCTTGAGACTTTACATTTCGGCTTCGGAGAGCTCTATCGGCTGTCTGCTGGCTCAAAACAACGAGTCAGAACGAGGGCAAGTAGTGCACTACCTGAGCCCTACCCTTAACATGGCCGAACTAAACTATTCGCCGATCGAGAAACTATGCTTAGCGCTTTATTTCGCGGCTACCAAGTTGCACCATTATATGCTACCCTCGGTCGTTCAGATCATCTCCAAGACCGATCTCATCAAATATATGCTCACTCGGCCGATCATACGCGGCCGAATTGGGAAATGGACGATGGCATTGTCCGAATTCACCTTCCAATATGTGGCTCAGAAGTCGGCACCGATTTCTTGGCTCACCACCCGGCTCAGGGGCAGGAAGAGGGGTTGGAGGTCGAGATCGGCATGGCCCGCATGGGGAAGAACTACTGGACCATGTACTCCGACGGCTCCAGTACCGAGGCCAGGTCCGGAGCCGGAGTCGTGATCGAATCCCCTCAAGGACAAAGGTGGCAATTTGCGTTCCAGCTTGATTTCAAATGCACCAACAATCAGGCCGAATACGAAGCACTCATCATCGGCATCGAAATTCTGAAAGAAATGAAGGCGACCCGTGTCTTGGTCTACGGTGATTCTCAGCTGGTAATTAACCAACCGACCGGGGAATACCAGTGCACGAGCAAGAATTTAACTATGTATTACGTAGCGGCCCTCAATACGGCCGACGATTTCTCTAGGATTTCCTTTGTCCACGTACCATGCGCCGAAAACCATGAGGCCAATGAGATGGCCCAAGTGGCGTCAGGTGTGAATATTCCGGACAATGACCACGGTCGTGTGATAAGAATCGAGAGGCGTACCTTGCCAGCTTTGGCTGAACGGGGAATGACAACGCAAGTGTCATTTGCCGAGATCACCGACAAAGTCAACACAGCCGAGGCCGATTGGCGCTACCCCATAGTGAGGTACTTGCGCGACCCCTCTAGCAGCCATGAGAGGACTACACATTTCCGAGCTCGGTGTTATTTAATTTACCAGAACGAGCTATATCGAAAGGGATCAGACGGCTTATTGCTCCTATGTCCCAGCGCCGAAGACATCAAGGTTATCATGACCGAATCCCACGAGGGGATTTGCGGCGGTCATCAGTCTGGCGTCAAGATGAGATGGTTGGTTCGGAGGCACGGCTATTACTGGCCGACCATTTTAAAAGATTGCATAGAGTATGCGAAGGGGTGTATCAAATGTCAAATCTACGGCCCCATACAAAGGGTACCAACCGAGGCCCTCCACCCGGTTACTAAACCATGGCGGTTCAGAGGTTGGGCTGTGGATATCATCGGCAAAATCTATCCGGCCGCGTCCAACCAACACGCATGGATTTTGGTGGCAATCGACTATTTTACTAAATGGGTCGAGGCGGAGTCCTATCGGTCAATTTCTAGCGCACAGGTGGTCAAATTCTTCGAGAAACACATCGTCCACAGGTTCGGTATACCTGAAACTATCACGGCCGACAATGGCCTAGTTTTCGCATCGGCCGAAACCTGGGAGTACACTGAAAAAATGGGGATCAAATTGGTTCACTCAACACCTTACTACCCCCAGTCTAACGGACAGGCCGAGGCGAGCAACAAGGAAATCAAGGGCATCCTTGAGAAAATGATTGAGGAAAAACCAAGGGCATGGCACGACTTACTCCCTGAAGCCCTTTGGGCTTTCCGAGTCACAAAACGATCGGCCACGGGCACATCTCCTTATGCCTTAACCTACGGTCATGACGCCATCGTTCCAATGGAGTTAAAGGTTCGGTCTCTCCGTGTGACCGAGCAGCCTGGTGAAGAAAGGAAGGACTATGCGCAAGCTATGGCTCAGGAGTCAGAAGACTTAGAGCAGTCCAGACTCGATGCTTATAACCTAATGCAGGCACAGAAGCAAATCGCGGCAAGGGCCTATAACTGAAAGGTCAAGCAAAAGACTTTTGCAGAAGGCGACTTGGTATGGCGAGCCGTGCTTCCTATCGGGACTAAGGACCCTCAGTTCGGCAAATTCTCACCTAACTGGGAGGGGCCGTTTGTTATCGAACAAATCCTGGGCCGAGGCGCATTCCAATTAAGGGATAGGGATGGAGAATTGCACGACCTACCAATAAACGGCCAGTATTTAAAGAAGTATACCTCGTCATTATGGGAGACGGCCGAGAATGGATTATGAGGTTCTTACAACTGGAAGTAAACAACACAACGAAGATAAAAGACAAGGCATGCTTTCAGACAGAAGGAAAGAGGAATCATACTTCATTTATTTAAAAAGGGGTCACGTTTACAAAGGAACGGCCAGGTCATGGCCGATTACAACATATAGATATACATAAGAAAAGATTGCATCCTAAATCTACTAACATCAGCTTCATGGTCCCCTCGCTGGACAGGCAGATGTTTCTTCCTGAGACTAGGGGCATCACTCAGGACACGGGTATGACCAGGTGAGCCCAGGGCCGTCATTCCGGCCAAGGGAAGGGGCGGCACTCAGGACACGAGTACGACCAGGCGAACACGGGGCCGTCATTCCGACCGGGGGAAGGGGCGTCACTCTGGACATGGGTGCAACCCGGGTGCCCAGCCGAATGAACACGGCCATGGCCACGTTGGAATCATCGTACCAGACCCTCCCATCTTCATCAATCGCATTGCAATTTCTCCTCGACCTCATAGGGAGGAAGGTCATCTTCCTGCCACATTTTGGTTCTAGCTCACGTCGACTTTCCGAGGCGAAGGGCAGTCGGTGGACAGCAGGGGAGGAAAAGCCATCTGATTATGACCAAACGGCCAAGTCGTGAGGTTTAGCGGATATGGCTCCCCGGTTTTTGGAAGGGCTACAATGGGGGCCACTGGAGCAGGTTAAAATGAAGGGGAGAAGGAGTAAAGGAGGAAAGAGGCCCAGGAATCACTAAGCAAGAGGAGAGCTACAGAGGCGTGAAAGAAAAATGAAGGAAGGCAGGGATTTTATACTAGCACTGGAATTCAGAACAGGCAGTGTGATTCTCGAAAGACGAAACGGCCTGACAACGCACTTGGGACACGCGAGGGTGTGTCTGAAACCTGGGGGCCGACGTTTCGGTTGGCGAGGTAAAATGATGGCTCGCACAAATCGAAAGCGCGATGACGTGTTAGAATCCCAGAGGCCGTCATTTCATTTGACGAAACGAAGCGACGCCTCGCGTAAGTCTGGGCAATGATGGCCTGCACGACGTGCTTGGGCATTAAATGCGCCGACTGGCCTGCGCATTTAATGCACCAGTTGTTAATCACTTCTGAAGGAATGCAAAGGGTTCATCCCCTGGAATCCAATCGGCCCTACCCATGCCGAGAGCGAAGAATTCAGGGATGTGGGGGCAATGTTTGTGCCTAATAAATCATGGCCATGAACTGACCGAAGGAGCCCCTTTTCTCGGCCCTAACACTTGCTCGTGAAGCTAAAGCGCGGCGTTTCGCCAAGATGTTTGGCCTTCCTAAAAAAGCAAAGGAAAAGTTGCGAAGGATTGATCATCTCCGCCTTAATTATAGGCCAAGGCCGAAGCCTAACAAAATCACGGCCAAAGGTACTAAAGTCAGATCATCAAGTGGCAGCAGGGTCCCACGCTTCATTTAATGAAGCAATGCCTCTGTTTATTGCAGCAAACTCACTGGCCACGAATAAGCATTTAATGCACGAGGGAAGGTGGGAAGTGATTGAAGTCAGGATTTGGTGATAGGAAGCAGAGTGATTAGACGTAGACATTCTCACAAGAATTCTTGCAGCTTGAGAGATTAGGTCATCAACTATCAGAACAATAAATGCGTCTCCACGGCCAGAAGCGTAAAACCCACGATTAGGGCGGCGGCCGAGATTCACCGGGATTTATGAGGTCACACCACCATACTTCACGATCCCAAATGTCGATTGGACTACCCACTTACTCTAATCAGGCTCCACCACGCAGCTTTTTAGCCTCGATTACTCCTCCAAGAACTCTTCTTATAAATACAAGGCTCAAGCTACATTCACAGGGTTCAAACACCAAACCAAAGCCTCCCACGGAGCAAATTATATTTTCCTGTAATGCACTTTCAATATCTTTACTCTCTTTTCTAGGAGTAATGTTAGTTTGTAAGGAAAATCCGTTCATCAATATATCATACGACCCCTGATTTTCAAGGCGCCGGAGCACCATCCCTGTTACTCATTCATTCACCCCATATATAATACGATCGTCGCTCCCTGAGCAACGCGCCGGAGCAACGCCCAAGATCCACCATCAACACCACTAACAGCCGAGATCAGTTCCTCTCTCGGCTACAATCGTTTGATTAGAAGACGAGTTCAAACAGGCGCACCACTTGACCATTCTATCCACATCAACATCTCGACACACGGTAGACCGTGCTGGCACGCCCGCGCACAACTGCACCGCATCCAAAAGCAGGAAGCCACGTGTTAACGCACATCCCCTCGACCCGGAACCCCAGGCCGTGAGATTTGCGCAGCCGACAAAAACCCTTTTGTATTTGTGTGCGTCGTTGTTTAAAAATATTCAACAGTACCTTCATTTTTTAGTTGTTTAAGGCACTTATCCACGACGGTTTTCTATTACCGTCGTCTTTTTAAACACAACGACAGTTTTATGTTCTGCCGTCGTCTTTTTCCCTTTTTGTAGTAGTGAAACTATATAAATCAAAGTTATTAATTATGAAGTTTATATCAATAGGAAAATGATTAAATCGATAGAAAATTAGTTAAATACCCATTTCCAGACATAGTTCTATAAAGAAACCCTATATCATTCAATGTACATAAACACACCCAAAATAAACCCAAAAATTGACAGCTGTCGTTTCTTAAATCTAACAGCAATGTTTGATTACTGTTTTGCCCTTTTGCTTTGTCTATTAAGAGCATCCGCAATGATGCTTTCTATTTCTTAGCTAAAATTTAGCTAAAAATATAAGAAAGCTATTTTAGGAGTTCTCTAAAAAATTTCAACTCCAACCATACTCCCTAATTTGGAGAGTCATAAATGTTATAACTCTTTTTTGATTGGTCCATCTCTATTAAAAAATAAAATAAAAAATAGTTAGCATTAAATAAAGGTTTGAAATACTCATTAAATAAGGCATCATTAAATTATAGGGAGCCACTAGGAGTACTTTCTCTCTCCTCAGATTTAGGAGCTCCTAGAGGACTCCCTATTTTAGGAGGTGGATAGGGAACATGGTTGGAGTTGCATTTTTACAATTCCTCCCTAAAATTTGTCTAAGGAGGTGGTTTAGGGAACCCATTGCGGATGCTCTAATCAACTTAATCTTCATCAACCAGCATCTTCAACTTTCTTCTTCTTCTTCAACAATGGCAAGGTTCATCGAGCTCTACTTCTGGCTTTTCTCCTAGTCCAATTCTCCATTGTATTTTCGTCGTCTCCTCCACAACCCTCGCCGACTCCATCGATGCAACCCGCGGCCGATTCACCTTCGCCCAAAACTCCATCGTCGATTTCCCTTCCTCCATCTCTGTCGGACTCTCCAGTTAACACACCACATCCTTCTTCACCTCCAGCACCACCGCAATCATTTCCATCTCAATCTCTGTCGGCAGATGACAAACCTCCAGTTCCTTCTCTAACGCCGTCGAATCCAAGCGACGTCAACCACAGCAACCTCGGAAGGAGACGGAGCTAAGAACTCCTCTGGAGGAATGAACCATGCAAAGAAAGCAGAGATTGTACTTGAGATGATCGTTGGATAAAATTCATCGATCTCAGTACGGATACGCCGCCATGAGAGAATTTCTCTAAAGAACTACTCATAGCCTCGCATGCACAAAAGCTCTTGAAGGTTATTGTGAAATTTTTAATTTCTCGTATTTTTTGTTGTTGTTAATTTCTGTGTTTGCTTATTGTATGATTGAATTGAGGTTTTGGCGATGGTGATATGGTGATTCAATTTTGGGATGAGTTGTTGGCGTAAAATGCTTAATTGGTCAATATGAGTCATTGATGTATTGCTTTTTCTATTTTAGAATGATATAATAATTGGAATTAGTGATTTAGAATTCATTATGCTTGTTTTTCTCACTATTGTTGACTTGTTTGGCTCTATCTGTGTATGCTATCTAATGTTTGTGAGCAAATTGCCATCTAAGTTCAGTTTTGTGTAAACTAATTCGGTAGGCTTATGGGGCAGATTTCAGCATCTCTTGATGCATCACATGCCATTTCTTGTCCTGAAAAAAAATTGTGATATTTGTTTAAGGCAATGCTCATTTTGCAGCTACCTAATTGCTTCAATGGGTCTGCAAGTCATCTGGAGTTTAGTGTTGGCATTGCTAGATGCATATTCCTTGGTGAAAAGGAAGGTCCTCCATAACCCTGTATTGGTTAGCCTCTGTGTAGTCGGAGACTGGGTCAACCTCTACAAATCCTTGACTTCCTTAGATGAAAATCTTGTGTGTCCATATAGTGCTTTCCATTTAATAGCTTACTTTTTTCCTTTTCTAACAGCTTACAGCAACATTGTCTCTTGCAGCAGCTTCTCCCTCATCTGGCATAATTGTGTTGTACTTTAGTGACTTGAGCTACTGCAATTTTGGAGAGGAATGCCAAAAATACCAGATGGCAGTTGCATTGGCGTACCTGAGCTGAGTAACAATTGCAATTTCTTCTCTAATTATGCTCTGGCTATTGGCAGCATGTTAGACCACTTGTTTGTATAGGCCATAGGATTTGTTTCATCTCATTGTAGCCCTTCTTTGTCATATATATTTCATATATTTTTTTCTTCAGAACATAAATAAGAAATTGCAATGTCAATAGAAAAGGAAACAAAATGGATAGAACATAGCAGTACAATATTAAAAACTTACTCTCATTATGTTGTCTTTTCACTGGAAAAAGTGGGATTAGAGTTGGGAAATAGTTGTATCAAACT